TGGTCCACTGCTGAAACTGCAGCCTTTGGGAGTCTTTTGTATCAGGGGTTCAACGTTAGAATTAGTGGACAGGACGTGGGAAGAGGAACTTTCTCTCAGAGACATGCGATGATTATCGATCAATCCACTGGAGGTAAAACAATTTTTTTATTTGATACTTGTCTTTTTCAAAAGAACAGAGACTGCAGAGGAAAATCATAACATATCATTCTCGGTCGTACAATGTACATTTTTATCTCTTCAGTGAGGGACAGAGAATGAATAAATTCATTAAATATTGAATAAAGGAAAAACAATAAATAATGCTATTTCACTTTTAAATATAATATTATATACACTGTGGGAAATTTATACTTCAAATTATAAGCAAAAAACGTGAAATTTTTCCAATTAGCAAGCTTTCATTGAAAAATCAATCATCGTTCACCTGGAAAAACACGATATTTTGAATTTTCAAAATAAATGAGAAATGTAGTAACCGCTTTTAATTAAAATCGAATTTACCTTCGTACAATGGAAAATTTAGATAATTTTGTGACTGAAATTTCAAGGGATTTTTAACGGTGCAAGAAATTAAAAAATAGTCTCAGCTATTTAATTCTGATACTACGTAATACTAGAAAATTAAGGACAAAAATATTAATCTTCACCTTTTCTATTTGATAGAAATGTACATTCCATTGAATTCAATGGCCGAGGGTCAAACAGGAAAAATAGAGCTAGCAAATAGTATTTTATCCGAGGAAGCAGTTCTCGGTTATGAGTACGGAATGAGTATTGCTTCTCCAATGACCTTGATAATATGGGAGGCTCAATTCGGCGATTTCTTCAATGGTGCGCAAATTATAATCGATACATTTATAACGAGTGGAGAGACCAAATGGATGACCAGCAGTGGATTAACGATTCTACTGCCTCATGGATGGGATGGAGCTGGACCTGATCACACTTCTTGTCGAATGGAAAGATTTCTCCAACTTACTGACAGCAAGGAGGATACTCCTGATGGGGATGACGTTAATTTCCAGGTCGTCAACCCAACAACTCCAGCACAGTATTTCCATCTGCTGAGGCGACAGATGGTGAGGAACTTCAGGAAGCCTTTGATCGTTGTGGCGCCCAAAATACTTCTGCGACATGCATCAGCTACATCTTCACTCCATCAAATGGGACCAAATACAAGCTTCAAAAACGTCATTGGTAAATAATAATTATTGTACTTAAATTGATAACATGACTATATTTAATTCTGATGGCCATTATGAAGACAAATATTAAGTGATTGTATGCTGCTTTTGGGTTGCCACTCTAATTGATGGTCAGTGAATTCATCCATCTATAAGAGGATGATCGGTGTTTATAATCTCCCCTTTTTCTTCGATTTTTAGGATAATATAATGAATGTCCAATTCAAAGGCCAAAAAAAACGTGAGTTATTTGATGTCACCGACATTTCACTTGGTTGTGACGTTTTTGAAAGTGAAAATATTTTAAAACGAATAGATAGGAATATTTATATACCATTTCAGAGAAGAATTTTCGTTCTTGAAAATGGTATCAGTTGTATCCAATCTAATTGCGATTTTCCACAATTATTGATTTGTTTCATTTTCGCTGTTATGTTACACTCTTAAATTCGCGTTGATTGTTAATTATCGTAGCACTCAATGTAATTTATAGGGATATATTGTGAACTCATTCAAAGGTCTCAACGACCTGTTTACAGTACAGTATTCTATTTTTTAATTTAATTGATTTGATCAACAGTTATTGATGATAATACGTCGAATCTTACGTGTCACGTTTTGAAAAATAGTAATTTCCTTTGCATAACATTCATAATCACTCTTATTACCCTCACAACTATCGAAATATTTCATTTTGACGCATAAACTTATCGAATATGAAATTTTTCCAATAAAAATTATAGGAAAAATGACGATTATTTAATTGTTTATCAGCATCATACCGATTAGATTCATTTACATATAAGGTACTGGTGTGTCCGACTATTCATTAAATTCTCATCTGATGAATATTTTGTTAAAATCTTGAAAATCGTTGATTGCCCATTCTTAAATGAAACACATGTCTGAAAACGAATGTCTTGTGCATTCGAAGTGTAGTGCAATTTGGTAGCAAAACATCTTTCAATTGAAACTCTCAGGAATCGTTATGGAAAGACTCTCGCAGAAATAAAAAAAAACTTTAATATCTTTCAGGTGACAATTTAGCAGATCCTTCAAAAGTTCAAAAAGTAATACTAGTCTCCGGAAAGCATTTCTACGCCCTTGAAAAACAACGAGAGCTAGAGAACGCGAATAATGTCGCCATAATTAGAGTAGAGAGCATCTGTCCATTTCCCCTTTTAGACTTGAATCAAGAGTTTCAAAAATATCCGCACGCAAAGACATTTATCTGGAGTCAAGAGGAGCCACGAAATATGGGTGCCTGGAGCTTCGTAAAACCCCGATTCGAGAATTTGTGTGGTCGTCAAGTGAGTGAATACAACTAACAATTAAGGCTGATTCTAGAATTATAAACAAATACAGAAACTATTTTACTGATTTCATTCATTTATTCCAGCTTAAATATTCCGGTCGTGAATCATCGCCATCACCAGCAGTTGGTGTAGCTCAACAGCACCAAAGAGAGGCGTTAGAAGTTATCGTTAAACCCTTTACAATTAAGTAAATTGAATAATTATGTAAATAGAATGATAAAATATTATTTTTCCACAGTTGATTCTTTCTCACTGTCCAGTCTTTTATGTTCATTCATCACGAGTGTTTTCAGCTCATCCTGGAACATAAAATGGAAAATTTAATGAATGCTTTCGGGAAATCTAGAAATAAACTTCATAGCTATGTTGGGAACATTTATACCAGCATTTTAACTACAGCTAAATTTATTCCTACTACTGCGTAAGTCGTAGTGTCAGGATTGTACGTAAAATTTGCCGTACGCCAAGTTCCGGTTGCACATCAAATTCACAGTCTAATTTATTAGTATCATTATTAATTATTAGTCTTTGTTGATTACGATTTTATTAATTCAATTAGTTTAATGTCGATATTAGGTTGCATAATGTACTTTCCCGTCATGTCAATTTCGTGCGGTCTTAAAAAAATATCTCCAACACCAAGATAGGAAAAT